ATGTTCCGAATTCAAATACGTTCTTCAAAAAAATTTTGTATCGAGAGATTGGCTATAAAAACATATCTATTGCACGGACCGGTAATCGAACCCGGGTCACTCGATTGGGAAACGAGCATTCTACCATTGAACCATCGATGAAACACGAAAAGAATTTTACCATAGAAATATATACTGTAAGTATAATATATGTTAATATATAAAAACATCCGTTTTTATCTTTATGATCCTATTTCAAATATTTTCTCCGAAAAATTGTGTATCGAGAGCATGGCTATGAAAACTTTTTATTGCACCGACCGGGAATCGAACCCGGGTCAATCGATTGGGAAACGAGCATTCTACCATTGAACCATCGATGCCACACAAAAAGTCTTTTGCGATATTAATATATATTGTAAGTATCATATATATGAATATATAAATATCTGTCTTCATCTTTATGATCAGAAATCAAATACGTTCTCACAAAAATTTGTATGGAGAGAATGGCTATAAAAACATTCCTATTGCTCCGACCGGGAATCGAGCATTCGACCATTGAACTACCGATTTCACACGAAAAGTCATTTATCATAGTAATATATATTGTAAGTATAATATAAGTTAATATATAAAAACATCCGTTTTCATCTTTATGTTCCGAATTCAAATACGTTCTTCAAAAAAATTTTGTATCGAGAGAGTGGCTATAAAAACATATCTATTGCACCGACCGGTAATCGAACCCGGGTCACTCGATTGGGAAACGAGCATTCTACCATTGAACCATCGATGAAACGAGAAAAGAATTTTACCATAGAAATATATGCTGTAAGTATAATATATGTTAATATATAAAAACATCCGTTTTTATCTTTATGATCCTATTTCAAATATTTTCCTTGAAAAATCGTGTATCGAGAGCATGGCTATGAAAACTTTTTATTGCACCGACCGGGAATCGAACCCGGGTCACTCGATTGGGAAACGAGCATTCTACCATTGAACCATCGATGCCACACGAAAAGTTTATTTCCATAATAGTATATATTTAAGTATAATATGTGTGAATATTAAAAACATTTGTTTTCATCTTTACAAACAGAAATCAAATACATTTTCACAAAAATTTGTATGGAAAGAATGGCTATAAAAACATTCATATTGCTCCGACCGGAATCGAACGCGATTAACTCGATTGGGAAACGAGCATTCCACCATCGAACTACCGATTTCACACGAAAAGTCATTTATCATAGTAATATATATTGTAAGTATAATATAAGTTAATATATAAAAACATCCGTTTTCATCTTTATGTTCCGAATTCAAATACGTTCTTCAAAAAATTTTGTATCGAGAGAGTGGCTATAAAAACATTCCTATTGCACCGACCGGGAATCGAACCCGGGTCACTCGATTGGGAAACGAGCATTCTAACATTGAACCAACGATGAAACGCAAAAAGCTATTACCATATAATTATATATTATAAGTAAAATGTATGTGAATTATATAAACATCCGTTTTCATCTTTATGATCAGAATTCAAATACGTTCTCCACAAAATTTTGTATCGAGAGCATGGCTATAAATTAATACCGATTGCACCTATCGGGAAACGAGCATTCTACCATTGAATTATCAATGCCACACGAAAAGGGTTTTACCATATTAATATATATTGTAAGTATAATATATGTTAATATATAAAAAAATTCGTTTTCATCTTTATGATCGGAATTCAAACATTTACTCCTTAAAATTTTGCATCTAGAGCATTGGCTATAAAAATATTTCTATTGCACTGACCGGGAATAGATCCCGGGTCACACAAATAGGAAACGAGCATTCTACCTTTGAACCATTGATGCCACACGAAAATAATTTTACCATAGAAATATATGCTGTATCCTTTTTTATCTATATGATCAGAATTCAAACATTTACTCCTTAAAATTTTGTATCTAGAGCATTTGGCTATAAAAACATTTCTATTGCACAGACCGGGAATAGAACCCGGGTCACTCGATAGGAAAACGAGTATTCTGCCACTGAACCATCGAGGCCACAAAAAAAGTCTTTTAAAAAATATTAATATATATTGTAAGTATAGTATATGTGAATATATAAACATCCGTTTTCATCTTTATGATTAGAATTCAAATTCGTTCTCCAAAAAATTTTGTATCGAGAGCATGGCTATAAAAGCATTCCTATTGCACCGTCCGGGAATCGAACTAGGGTCACTCGATTGGAAAACCAGCATTCTACCATCGAGCAATCGATGCCACACGAAAAATCTTTTACTATATAATTATATATTATTAGTAAAATATGTGTGAAATATATAAACATCCGTTTTCATCTTTATGATCAGAATTCAAATATGTTCTCCACAAAATTTTGTATCGATATTCAGCTATAAAACATTTCCATTGCATCGACCGGGAATCGAGCATTCTACCATTGAACCATCGATGCCACACGAAAATACTTTTTCCATAATAGTATATATTTAAGTATAATATGTGTGAATATATAAAAACATCCGTTTTCATCTTTATAATCAGAAATCAAATACGTTCTCACAAAAATTTGTATGGAGAGAATGGCTATAAAAACATTCCTATTGCTCCGTCCGAGAATCGAACCCGGGTCACTCGATTGGGAAACGAGCATTCTACCATTGAACCATCGATGCCACACGAAAATGTTTATGTCCATAATAGTATATATTTAAGTATAATATGTGTGAATATATAAAAACATCCATTTTCATCTTTATGATCAGAAATCAAATACGTTCTCACAAAAATTTGTATGGAGAGATTGGCTATAAAAACATTCCTATTGCTCTGACCGGGAATCGAACACGTGTCACTCGATTGGGAAACGGGCATTCGACCATTGAACCATCGATTTCTCACGAAAAGTCTTTTATCATAGTAATATATATTGTAAGTATAATATAAGTTATTATATAAAAACATCTGTTTTCATCTTTATGATCAGAATTAAAATACATTCTCCAAAAAATTTTGCATTGAGAGCATGGCTATAAAAACATTCCTATTGCACCGATCGGGAATCGAACCCGGGTCACTCGATTGGGAAACGAGCATTCTACCTTTGAACCATCGATGCCACACGAAAAGAATTTTACCATAGAAATATATGCTGTATCAGCTTTTATCTTTATGATCAGAATTCAAATACGTTCTCCACAAAATTTTGTGTCGAGAGCATGGCTATAAATAAATTCCTATTGCACCGACCGGGAATCGAACCCGTGTCACTTGATTGGGAAACGAGCTTTCTACCAATGTATGTTCGATGCCACACGAAAAGTTTCTTACCATATTAATATTTATTGTATGTTTAATATATGTTAATATATAAAAAAACCTCCGTTTTCATCTTTATGATCCGAATTCAAATATTTTCTTCGAAAAATTGTGTATCGAAATCATGGCTATGAAAACATTTATTTGCACCGACCGGGAATCGAACCCGGGTCACTCGATTGGGAAACGAGCATTCTACCATTGAACCATCGATGCCACACAAAAAGTCTTTTGCCATATTAATATATATTGTAAGTATCATATATATGAATATATAAATATCTGTCTTCATCTTTATGATCAGAAATCAAATACGTTCTCACAAAAATTTGTATGGAGAGAATGGCTATAAAAACATTCCTATTGCTCCGACCGGGAATCGAACCCGGGTCACTCGATTGGGAAACGAGCATTCGACCATTGAACTACCGATTTCACACGAAAAGTCATTTATCATAGTAATATATATTGTAAGTATAATATAAGTTAATATATAAAAACATCCGTTTTCATCTTTATGTTCCGAATTCAAATCCGTTCTTCAAAAAAATTTTGTATCGAGAGCATGGCTATGAAAACATTTCTATTGCACAGACCGGGAATAGAACCCGGGTCACTCGATTGGGAAACGAGTATTCTACCACTGAACCATCGATGCCACACGAAAAGTTTCTTACCATATTAATATTTATTGTATGTTTAATATATGTTAATATATAAAAAAAACCTCCGTTTTCATCTTTATGATTAGAATTCAAATACGTTCTGCAAAAAATTTTTATCGAGAGCACGGCTATAAAAGCATTTCTATTGCATCGACCGGGAATCGAACCCGGGTCACTCGATTGGGAAAAGAGCATTCTAACATTGAGCCATCGATGAAACGCGAGAAGTGTGTTTCCAAAATAGTATATAATTAAGTATAATATGTGTGAATATGTAAAAACATCCGATTTCATCTTTACAAACAGAAATCAAATATATTTTCACAAAAATTTGTATGGAAAGAATGGCTATAAAAACATTCATATTGCTCCGACCCGGAATCGAACGCGATTCACTCGATTGGAAAACGAGCACTCGACCATTGAAGTACAGATTTCACACGAAAAGTCTTTTATCATAGTAATATATATTGTAAGTATAATATATGTTAATATATAAAAACATCCGTTTTCATCTTTATGTTCCGAATTCAAATACCTTCTTCAAAAAAATTTTGTATCGAGAGAGTGGCTATAAAAACATTTCTATTGCACCGACCGGGAATCGAACCCGGGTCACTCGATTGGGAAACGAGCATTCTACCATTGAACCATCGATGAAACGCGAAAAGTCTATTACCATATTAATATATATTATAAGTAAAATATATGTGAATTATATAAACATCCGTTTTCATCTTTATCATCAGAATTCAAATACATTCTCCACAAAATTTTGTATTGAGAGCATGGCTATAAATTAATTCCAATTGCACCGACCGGGAAACGAGCATTCTACCATTGAACCATCAATGCCACACGAAAAGTCTTTTACCATATTAATATATATTGTAAGTATAATATATGTTAATATATAAAAACGTCCGTTTTCATCTTTATGATCGGAATTCAAACATTTACTTCTTAAAATTTTGTATCTAGAGCATGGCTATAAAAAAATTTCTATTGCACCGACCGGGAATCGAACCCGGGTCACTCAAATAGGAAACGAGCATTCTACCTTTGAAAAATTGATGCCACACGAAAAGAATTTTACCATAGAAATATATGCTGTATCCTTTTTTATCTTTATGATCAGAATTCAAACATTTACTCCTTAAAATTTTGAATCTAGAGCATTGGCTATAAAAAGATTTCTATTGCACAGACCGGGAATAGAACCCGGGTCACTCGATTAAGAAACGAGTATTCTATCACGGAATCATCGATGCCACAAGAAAAGTCTTTTAAAAATATTAATATATATTCTAAGTATAGTATATGTGAATATATAAACAACCGTTTTCATCTTTATGATTATAAATCAAATTCGTTCTACAAAAAATTTTGTATCGAGAGCACGGCTATAAAAGCATTTCTATTGCACCGTCCGGGAATCGAACGCGGGTCTCTCGATTGGAAAACGAGCATTCTACCTTCGAACAATCGATGCCACACGAAAAATCTTTTACTATATAATTATATATTATTAGTAAAATATGTGTGAAATATATAAACATCCGTTTTCATCTTTATGATCAGAATTCAAATATGTTCTCCACAAAATTTTGTATCGATATTCAGCTATAAAACATTTCCATTGCATCGACCGGGAATCGAGCATTTTACCTTTGAACCATCGATGCCACACGAAAAGTCTATTTCCATAATAGTATATATTTAAGTATAATATGTGTGAATATATAAAAACATCCGTTTTCATCTTTATAATCAGAAACAAATACGTTCTCACAAAAATTTGTATGGAGAGAATGGCTATAAAAACATTCCTATTGCTCCGACCGGGAATCGAACCCGGGTCTCTCGATTGGGAAACGAGCATTCTACCATTGAACCATCGATGCCACACGAAAAGTCTATTTCCATAATAGTATATATTTAAGTATAATATGTGTGAATATATAAAAACATCCATTTTTATCTTTATGATCAGAAATCAAATACGTTCTCACAAAAATTTGTATGGAGAGATTGGCTATAAAAACATTCCTATTGCTCTGACCGGGAATCGAACACGTGTCACTCGATTGGGAAACGGGCATTCGACCATTGAACCATCGATTTCTCACGAAAAGTCTTTTATCATAGTAATATATATTGTAAGTATAATATAAGTTATTATATAAAAACATCTGTTTTCATCTTTATGATCAGAATTAAAATACATTCTCCAAAAAATTTTGCATTGAGAGCATGGCTATAAAAACATTCCTATTGCACCGATCGGGAATCGAACCCGGGTCACTCGATTGGGAAACGAGCATTCTACCTTTGAACCATCGATGCCACACGAAAAGAATTTTACCATAGAAATATATGCTGTATCCGTTTTCATCTTTATGATCAGAATTCAAATACGTTCTCCACAAAATTTTGTGTCGAGAGCATGGCTATAAATAAATTCCTATTGCACCGACCGGGAATCGAACCCGTGTCACTTGATTGGGAAACGAGCTTTCTACCAATGTATGATCGATGCCACACGAAAAGTTTCTTACCATATTAATATTTATTGTATGTTTAATATATGTTAATATATAAAAAAAACCTCCGTTTTCATCTTTATGATCCTATTTCAAATATTTTCTCCGAAAATTTGTGTATCAAAAGCATGGCTATGAAAACATTTATTGCACCGACCGGGAATCGAACCCGGGTCACTCGATTGGGAAACGAGCATTCTACCATTGAACCATCGATGCACACAAAAAGTCTTTTGTCTTTGCCATATTAATATATATATTGTAAGTATAATATAAGATATAAAATCCTCTTATCTTTATGTATCCAAATCAAATACGTTCTCACAAAATTATACAAGATGTAAAAAATTCTGTACAGCTATACCGGGAATAGAACCGGGTCTACTTGATTGGGAAACGAGCATTCTACCATTGAACCATGAACAATACGTTTCTACCGAGTATTTATTTAGTATGTATGTTAAGTTAATATATTAAATTAAACCCATTTTCATCTTTATGACCAGAATACGTTCTTCAAAAATTTATTATGATCGAGCACTGGATACAAAACATTTCTATTGCTGCGACCGGAATGAACCGGGTCACTGATGGGAAACATAGTATTCACCACTCTGAACCATCGATGACATGCAAGTATTCTTACCATTAATATTTATTATGTTTAAGTATATGAATTATATAAACAATCAGTTTTATCTTTATTGTAGGGAATTAAATACGTTCTCCACAAAATTTTTGTATCATAGAGCACGGCTTAGCTCTATTACATTCACATTGAACGACTCGGCACTCGATGGAACGAGCATTCTACCTTTAGCTCATGAACAGCGAAAATATTTTACCATATTATAATGAATATTTGTTTGAATATATAAACGTTGTTTTACCTTATGATCAGAATTCAAATACGTTCTCCAAAATTTTGTATCGAAAGCCAACTATAAAAACATTTGTATTGCATCATCCTTGAATCGAACCCGGTCACTGTTGGAAAACAGCATTCTACCATGAAACATCAGATAACAAGACGAAAAGTCTATTTCCATAATAGTATATATTTCAGTATAAGTATGTAGTGAATATATATAAAACATCCGTTTTACCTTTATAATCGAAATTAAATACGTTCTCACAAAAATTTGTATGGAGAAAGGCTATGAAAACATTCTATTCCGACCGAATGAACCTGATTCATTCGATTGGGAAAATATTCGACCATTGAAGTACACGATTTCACATGAAAAGTCTTTATCATAGTAATATATTTAATATTGTAAGTATAATATTTATTATGATTTAAAATATATCTCCAAAATACAGAATATGCTATAAAAAAGATGTGTCCAATCGACGGTCTTTATGGGAACATCTACCTTCGAACATCGTCTGACAAATTACATTTATTTAATGCATTAAAACCGTTATTTATACTAATAAAGTATCATAAATGCATCAAGACATGGCTATAAAACATTTCTATTCACGGTCGAATTTCGATACCGGGTCACTCATTGAAACGAGCATTCTACCTTCGAACAATCGGTATAAAGTTTTTAATATGTTAATATATATTATAAGTAAAATATATGTAATATATAAACATCGTTTATCTTTATGATCAGTAAAGCGTATCTCACAAAATTTCTAAGATTTAGGCCATCTATAAAAGTATCTTTCATTGCACCTGGAATTGGACGGTCACCTGATTGGAAACGAGCATTCTGCTTGAACCATCGTCAATCGAAAAGTCATTTATACTTTAGTAATATATTAAAGTATAATATATGTTAGATTATATAAACTCCCATTTTCATCTTTTATATTAGTCAATCAAATAGATTCTCAAAATTTATTAAAGCAGCTTATAAAACTTCCATTGCATCACCTGGAATCATACCCGGGTCACTCGATTAGAGAAATCGAGCATTCTACCATTGAAACATGCCACACGTTAAAGCTCGCGATAAGTATTACCATTGAGTATATATTTAGTAGATATATTATATAAAACATCCGTTTCATCTTTATCTGTCAGAATTCAAATATTTCTCCTAAAAATTTTGTATCGAGACAGGTCTATAAATACATCTATTGCACGTGGAAACGAGCATTCTCCAATAAGCATTCGAATTGACCAATCATTCTCACGAAAAATCTTTACATATGTAATATATATTGTAAGTATATATTATTAATATATAAACATCGTTTTCATTCTATGTTCCGAATTCAAATACGTTCTTCAAAATTTGTATCGAAAGCACGGCTATAAAAGCATTGTATTGCACGACCTGGTCGAACCCGTCACTCGAGGAAAACAGCATTCGATACCATTGAACCATCGATGAAATGCGAAAAGTCTTACCATATTATATATATTTAAGTATCTATATGTTGAATATATAAATATCATCCGTTTTTCATCTTTATATCCAAAATCAAATATGTTCTCCACAAAGTTAGTATCGAGAATGGCTATAAAACATTCCTATGCTCCGACCGGCGAACACTGATGGAAAGGTTCGACTATTGACCTACCTGATTTCACATCTCATTTATCATAGTAATATATTGTAAATATAATGATAATAATATATAAAACAACCTGCTTCATTTTTGATCAACTTCAAATAAATTCTCCAAAATTTTCATGAGAGCATGGTTAACATTTCAACTGCACAGGTCTCGCAAATCGAACGCGGTTCCTCGATTGAAACGCATTCTACCTTGAATACCGATGCCGCACAAATATGATTTACTGTTATTAATATATATTGAAGTAAAATATATGTGAAATATATAAACAGTCGTTTCATCTTTATGATCGCAGAATTCAAATACTTTTTCACAAAATTTTGTGACGGAGAGTCATGGCTATAAATAAATTCCTATTGCACCGACCGAGTCGACCCGTGCACTTGATTGAAACAGGCTTTTACCAATGAATGATCGATAAACAATGAAAATTCTTACCATATTAATATTTATTGCTGTTTATAAAATGATTAATATATAAAACCTCCGTTTTATCATCCTTTATGATCCGAATTCAAATATTTTCTTCGAAAATTGTTATACAAACAGGCTATGAAAAGATTTATTTGCACCGATGGGAATCAACCGGGTCATACCTCGATTGGGAAAGCAGCATTCTACCTTGAACATCGTACCACAAAGTCTTTTTGCCATATATTATATATTGTAAGTATCATATAAATGAATATATAAATATCTTCTCTTCATCTTTATGATCACAAATCAAATCTTCTCAAAATTTGTATCAGAGAGAATGGCTATAAAAAGGTCTAATGCTCCGACCGAAGATTCAACTGGGGTCACTCGAATCGAACGAGCATTCGACCATTGACTCAACCGATTTCACACTTGAAAGAATATTGTCATTAGTAATATATATGTATATATATAAGTTAATATATAAAAACATCGTTTTCATCTTTATGTTCAATTCAAATACGTTCTTCAAAAATTTTTCTATCAGGCATGGCTGTAGAACATTCCTATTGCACAGACCGGGAATAGAACCCGGGTCCTCGATTGAAACAGGTATTCTACCACTGAACATCGATGCACACGAAATGTTCGTACCATATTAATATTTATTGTATGTTTAATATATGTTAATATATAAAAACATAGATTTTCATCTTTATGATTAGAATTCAAATACGTTCTGCAAAAATTTATATAGAGCACGGCTATAAAAG